GCCAGGAAGATGGAGGAAGCTGAGGCCCGGCGCAGACAAGAGGAGGAGGCCAGGAGACAAAGAGCTCTGCAGCAGGTGTGTGTGTGGGCCTGTTCTGTCCCACAGGCAGAGCTGGACAGGGGATCCACCTGCCTTGGGCACTGGGAATTTGCCCCCAGGACGTTTCCCTGCCGTGTAGCAATGGGGATTTGGGTCAAGTGAGAGGTTCCTGGTGCTTCCCCTGGAGCCTGCTCCTCTCAGGTGAGTGACTCCTGCCTGGGCTTGCAGGAGGAGGAGGAACGGCGGCGCAGGGAGCTGATGCAGAAGAAGAAGGAAGAGGAGCAGGAGCGTGCCCGCAAGATCGCTGAGCAGAGGCAGGCGGAACAGGAGCGGGAGAGACAGTTGGCTGCAGAGAGAGAACTGGAGAGGAAGAGGGAGCAGGAGCGGATCCAGGCTGAAAAGTAAGGCAAAATCCCTGTTTATGTACCAAATTCTGGGAGGGGGTTGAAACGCAGCCAGAGCAGAGGGCGGGAGTGGATGGCTGGAGCAGCAGGGAGCTGCAGTGACCTGGCAGCACAGCTCTGCACTGTTGCTGGTGCTGAGCTGCCAAGGAGGAACTCTGGGCTCGGGGATGTCAGGAGTGTGGTGGGGAGTGCCTGAAGGAGCTGTGAGCCAGGGAGGGCCCTGGTGTGGTGCTGGGAGTGAGGGCCTGTGCTGTGCTTCCCAGGCTCCGGGAGCAGCAGGAGAAGGCTGCCCGCCTGCAGAAGGAAGAAGCGGCTGCTAAGGAGCGGCTCCGGATGGAGATGGAGAAGAAGGAGGTAGGTGATTGATTTTTGGGAAGGGATGGAGCCACACAATTTGGCCTCAGCAGGAGTTGCTGTTGGAGCAGCTCAGCTGGGACGCTGTGGGGAGCCCTGAAGAGCTGCTGGGGCACTTCTGAGCAGGAGGTCAGACCTGTGTGGCACGGTTACGGTACCGTGGGGAGACTTGGCCTCTAAAAATACTGTTTACTAGTCTAGAAAGAGGCTAAGATCAGTAGCACAGACTTCTGCAGGTGGTCAGCTGGTTTCTGACCCCAAGATAAAGTCAGCAGCAAGTTTTCTGTGGTGGGGGGCCCTGGCTTTGTCAGAGAAGGCAGCTGATGCTCTGGCATGGGGGTCAGTGTGTTTGTGCCCTTCTGAGGAAGCTGCACCATGTCCCAAGTGCTCCTCAGCAGCACGAGGAACAGCTATAATGAGGTGCTTGAATATTTTGCCTGCCACAAAGATGGATGGCTGGGTTTGCAGTGTAGTCCCTAAGGGCAATCCTATGGGTGTCGCTTGGCAGAGGGAGCAGCAGATACTGGCAGAGAAGAAGAGACAGGAGGAGAAGCAGAAGAAACTGTCAGAGGAGCAAAAGGCCAAAGACAATGCCCGGGCACCACTCCAGGAGAACAAGGAGGTAACTGGGGATGGGTTCTTAGGGGTGACAACAGAGTTTAGTCCCAGCACTGACCCACTCTTGCCTTGGTCAGTTCCACCCCATGCTTTTATCTGCCTTTTCTATAACACAGGAATTCTTTAAATCCTGATTATCTAGGGTTGACTCTGTATGTATTTCAATGACAGAGGGAAGGGAAGCAGGAGGGATTGGGCAGGGTTCCTGGCTGTGGGTAAGACAGCAGCTGTTGGAGCTGTCTTAAGCGCCTCTTAAATACCAGAAGGACCTCAGGGCAGAAAGTGCTGCAAGTTTTATCCAAGTTTTATTTCGGGTCAAATTTGGGAACAGCCACAAGGTGGTAGCAGAGCTCTTGGAATGGTGGTGGTTTGGCTCGGGAGACTCCTGAGGGCCTGTGTTCATGTCCTGAACCTTGACAACAAACACAAGGCTCTTGTCTCCTTGCAATGCTCAGAATCTTTAAGTGCAGGACCAGCGGATGGGAGTTAATGTCACTGGACACAAAGCCATGAAGGGGGTCTCTGGTGGGGAAGGATGACTGTGTCCAACTCTCCAGAGGCTCATTTCCTGATTGAAAATAGAATTCCTTCTGACAATTTCCAGTTGAAAAAGCCTGAAATTTGCAGTTGAAGGTTTTCTCCTGCCCTTACACTTTCTGCCCGCGCAGCTCCCATTAGCGTGAGCTCAGTTTGGCTGAGCTGGTGGGCAGGTTCTCTGTACAGCAATTAGCAGTTTTATATAATTAACCAAGCCCAGAAGTTGGGTTGCAGAGTGTTTAGAGCATGTGACTCTGCTGCAGTGACATAAAACCTCCAGTTAACCTTGGCTTGGCTGGAGTGGAGCTCTGTTCTATTAGACCCGTTAGATTCATCTTCTGCTGTGTGCTCATGCCACAGATGGCAAATTAATCAGCCTAATTAAGCAGGAGAGGGCCATGCACAGCCATTATTGGGTCACAACTTTGGAACTTGGGTCAAGCTCTTGGGTCCAAACTTGAGACCTGCCAGACTCAGGGTTTGCTGTGAGGTGACAGAGCAGGAGATGGGGACGAGCTGATCCTGCTGTGTCTTGGAGCCTGATGATGCTGCTGCACCCAACACCTGTGGAATGTATTTCCCTTATAGAACTCCCCTGCCTGCAACTCGTATGAGATGACTCCACAGAGCAGGAAGGAACTCAAGGTGCCTTTGACAAGCTCCAATGACTATGGGATGGACCTGAACAGCGACGACTCGACAGATGACGAGAGCGAGCCACGCAAGCCCGTCCCTGCCTGGGCCACTGGTATGTGTGTGGGGGGGAATGTGTGTGTCCAGAACCCCCAGCAGACTGTAGGAGCTGCTGAGGGGTTTTGCCCAGTTCCTCCTGCCTGGAGGAGTTTAAAGTACTCCAGCATGAAATGAGTACTGCTGTGTCCAAGACTGGACAGGGGCTTGGAGCCACCTGCTCTAGTGGACGGTGTCCTTGCCCATGGCAGGGTGTTGGAACTTAGATGAGTTTTAATATCCCTTCCAACCCAAACCATCCCATGAGTCGATGTGGAATGTGGAGTCAGGGGCTCCTCCACCACTTGGGGATCTTGTCACAAGGTGATGGGGGACAAATACTCTGCTAAGCTGCCTTGCAGTGGTGAGAGATGAGCAGAGCGGGGACACGCCACATACAACAGCCTACACAGCAATCTCACTTAACAAAACTAACGCAAGGCTGATCTGTTCCTGCAGGGAATCAGCTCAGCCAGGCTGTGATCCGGCAGTACTACAACCCCCCTGACGTGGACGCGCTGTTCGGGGCCATCCCCAGCCCCAAGCTGGAGGACATTTTCTACAAGAGCAAACCGCGCTACTTCAAGCGCACGAGCTCGGCCGTGTGGCACTCCCCGCCCACCCTGGCGGCCAAGCCAGCCCTGGGGCTGCCCTGCGGCCTCAAGAAGCCCTGAGGTGAGCGCAGGGGTACAGCAGGTGTGCCTTCCTGTCTCCAGGTGAGGAAGGAGTCACTCTTCACTTTGTATTTAGGTTCTAGCATTGAATAAATGGCAGCTTTTCCTGGGTTCCTGCACCTCGGTTTGCGGGGCTGGTTTCTGTCAGGCCAAGCCACGAGGTGCTGCCCCGGGAAGTGCCTCTCTCGTACTCTTGGCTTGGAGCTGGCATGGACTCAGACCTTCAGTGGGTGAGGGGTGTCACCTGAAGCTGTGGGATCCCCCCCTCTCTGTCACACAGGCCTGGCAGGCCCTGCCATTCCTCAGTTGTACGTCTGTGCTGCCCTCGAGGCCAGTGACAGCCAGGGACCACTGCACCAGGGCACAGTCCGGCCTGCTCCACTGCTCTTCTCAGGAAGGTGTTCCCAGGTGTGCTCTTCATCTCCTGCAATCCCAAAGGGATTCGTCGCTCTGTTCCCCACCTGTGTGGTGGTGTCCATCAGCTGGGCACAGCTGGAGCAGGAACACCGTGAGGGTCTCAGTGATGTTCTGCCAGCTGTGGAGAGATGTGACCAAGGTGTGACCATGTCCCCGAGGACCCGCAAGTGTGTGAGCCAGCTCTAGGCCTTGATAGGAGAAACTCTGCAAGGGTTTTGGCAGATATTTTTTTTGTTGTTTCTCAGTGAAATTTAATCTGTGAGGCCAAATGGGATTTGAGAGGATGTTTGTAACCGTAATCCCTCTTGTTCACCCTTGGCTGTGGCTCAGCATCAGCTCGTTGTCTCAGCCTGTTTAGCACTTCCTGTTTAGTGAGCCACTGCTGACCAGACTCTGGCCAAACCAATTTCATTGAACCAAAAATTCCAGCTCAGCCTTCCCATTCCAGGAGTCCATGGTGGTTTAGTCATTCCTTCTGCACGCAGCCGAGCCCTGTAAAACCCTGTAGATACTGTGCTTTGTGTGAGGGGACATGATCCTGTCTGTGTGTCTGTAGCCAATGCACTGTTTGCCAGCAAATGTTCTTCAAAAGAAACAAAATATTAAATTTAGTTTTTAAATTAAATACAAAAGGTTTTGTATTTAAATACACTGGTGTCTGTATGCTGGGGCTGCTGTGTGTGTGCAGATCTGTATCTTGGAGTGTCTGTGCTGCTGGGGCTGCCCTGTAGATCCAGGTCTGGCTATTGCTGTCTGTACCCATGGAGTGCCTGTTTCCATTGGCTGTCCTGTGCACCCAGCTCTGTATCCGCGTGACCGCCATTTCTTGTACAAAAGCTTCTGAGCTGGCCAAACACTGTTGGATAAAGTGAATTTAATCATCTCTGGGCTCCTCTCAGCTTTTTGTTACAGAAATTGAGGTTCTGGAGTCTGCGTCTTTTGTGCTGATTCCTTGAGGCAAGAATGTCCTGTCTGGGGAGAACTTCTGATCTCCTATGGAAGATCTTAGTCCCTGGGGGTTCCCCAGCACTATGTAGCATCCACGGAGGCTTTTGATTTTTAATGCTGATTTTTGCAGTCTGATTTTTAAGGTTTGTGGCCCATGTGGCTGTGGGTCCATTGGGGACATCGCTCAGTGCCCAGCCCCTGTCCCTGTGCTGTCAGCCCAGCTGCAGGTGGGACGCCGCTGTGTGCAGGGCCCAGGCACAGACAGGGACACAACACCCAATTCAACTCACACATAATTTATTAGTGACAAAGGGGCTGTCTCCAGGCACGAGGGGATGTCACCAGGGTGGGGGGATGACACTGTCACTAGGCTGGGAAGGCAATGGGGAAGGAGGGGTTTGAACAACATGGTGTAACCCGGTATGAGGACAAGGTATCCTCGTCTTGGGAAGGACACACAGGGATGTAACAGGCCCCGGGTGTGGCACGTCCCTGTCCCTGATCCTACCCGCGCTCGCAGATGAGCTCGACCACGCTGTGCTCCATGGGGACGGGGTCCAGGCAGCGGTGGGCGGCGCTGGCGGCCACCTCGTCCAGCAGCCCCTGCACCACGCGCTCGTCGGAGGCGAAGCGCCACAGGTAGAGCTGCAGGTAGTGCCCGTCCACCTGCACCTGCTGCAGCCCGAAGCGCCCCAGCGTGCGCAGCCGCACGCACTCCAGCAGCGTCTTCAGGCTGATCTTGATGATCCCCGTCAGCACCGACACCTGCCAGGGGACAGCGGGGACACGTGGCACGCGGGCGCAGGGATGGTGTCCACACGGGGTGTGGGGGCCCTTGTCCTGGCTGCCACTCCCCATGGAACTCCTGAGCATGGGGATATGTGGCACGTGGACACCCTTGGCCTGGTCGCTGCACTGATCCCACAGTGATCCCACTCCTCCCCTCAGAGTCAGCTCCCCTGAGCCCTGACACCAGGGACATGCTGCAGTGGGAAAGTGGCTGGTTTGGGACCTCTGGGGATGTTTAGGGACATGGTGGTGTCCCCATGACCTCACCTTGTTGAACTCAACAGGGCTGAAGATGTCAATGCGCTCAGAGAAAAGCTTCTGGATGTTGCTGAGCAGGTGAGTGTCCATGGGGGCACTGAGGACATGGACACAGGGACAGTCAGGGACTTGACTTGATAGAGCCAGGAATGTGGGGACAGGGACACGGACCATTAGGGGCCATGGAGAGGGTCAGAGGATGCAGGGATGCTTTTGGGGACAGAAAGGCAGGGAAATATGAGGATGGTCCTAGGACATGGAGGGACAAGACAACTGAAGGACACGAGGATGATGGGGATCAGCAAGGGATTCTGGGACAGTTGTAAGGAACACAGGGATTGTTGGGACAAACAGGGATCACCATTAGGACAGTCTGAGGATACGGGAGTAAGGGCTGTCAAGACAGCCTGGGACAGTCTGGGGTCATGAAGAGGGTGACAGGGAAGATGCAGTGGATACTCAGGGAGTGACAGGGAGCCCACGGTGCCCTGGGCAGTGACAGGGGGAGCCTGGGGGTGCCAGGGTGAGCCGGGGTGCCAGGGCTGACCTGGGGGTGTAGCTGGGGGCATAGCGGCCGGGTGCCCGTGAGCTGCTGTAGACGGAGAAGGCGCGCCGGCTGGAATCGCTGCTCTGCGCCCGCCTCACCCCCTCCTCGAAGAGCTGCCCCACCTGCGGGTGGCACCACACCCTCAGCACCCACAACCCCCTCCTGGGACCCCCAAACTGCCCAGCATCCTTCGAAGTCTTTGCCGGCCTCCCACACCCTTCCAGAATCCCCAAAGGGCCACACGGGGATCTTGGGCAGCCCCTCAGCCCCGGCGCCAGCCAACCTGGACGTCGATGGCGGTGATGTCCTCCACCACGCGCTTCATGACGGCGCGCACGTTGCGCGGCTCGACGGTGCCCAGCCAGTCGCGCGTCTCGACGCTCTTGCGCAGCATCTGCGCCACGGCCGCGCCCTGCACCTGCACGTAGTGGTCCAGCAGCCGCTGCGCCGCCGCCCGCGCCTCCGCACACAGCGCCGGCCCCGGCGTCACCGCCGGCCCCGAGTCCTGGGGACACACGCAGGCGGGATCAGCCCCGCACCTCCCCTGCTGCGCTGGCAGCACTGGGAATACGAGGGGCGTGGGGACACGTGGCGATGCCTCCCCTCCCTGTGATTCTACATCTGATGTCCTGGGGGCACAGGGACATTGGGGACAGGTGGGACATTCCCCCTGAAGCAGCATCACTGCCCCTCTTACAGGTCCTTGGGGCTACAGGGGCTCTTGAGACCATGCAGAACGCCCCTGAAAATCCCTCAGGGACATTCAGGATCCCCTTAGGGCCATTTAGAGGCTCACCTGGGGCGGGAACTGCTCATCAGTGAGGGTGAGGATGTAGCTGATGGTGGAGTTCTCGTAGTCCAGGCAGAGACGGGCGAGGAGCAGCAGCAGGGCCGGGGGGGCAGCGGGAGCTCCCCGCTCAGCTGGGCCATCAGCGAAGCCACGGGCGGTGCGGCACAGCCAGCGCACGAAGGCCACCACCAGTCCCTCACGCACTGCTGTCACACAGAACTCCCCCTGTGACACAAACGGGGGGGCGGGTCACACCCCAAAACTGTCCTGTGACCCCAACCTACTCTGTGCCACCCGCAGACGCCCCTAGCCCCCTCAGCCCGTCCCCACAAAGCACCCCACCCCGCGTTACTCCACCTTGAAGTAGGGCAGGCTGGCGAAGGCGACGTCCCTGGCGGTGAAGAGCTGCACGTAGGCCAGCACGGCCTTGAGCTGGCCCAGCACGGAGGCGGCCAGCGTGGCCAGCAGGTCGGGCAGGCCGGGCCCCTCTTTGCCGGGGGGCCGAGGGGCGGCCAGCGCCTGGCGCACGTCACCCAGGCAGCCCAGGAAGAAGGTCTGCAGGGCGCGCAGGTAGCGGTCGACGCGCTCGCGGGCGGCCCGGGCCACCAGCGCGGCGGCGGCGGCGCCCCGCGTCCCCGCCGAACAGCGCGCGGTACGAGCCGGCCAGCTGGCACAGCGTGCCCACGAAGGCCGAGCTGCCGCGGTCCACGAAGTCCAGGATGTCGGAGGCGGGCGGCGGCGGCGTGGCGGCCGCGCCCGAGGGGTCGGCCGCGGGCAGCTCGGCCTCCAGCGCCGCCAGCTCGGCCTCGAGGCGCGTGCCCGCCTGGCTCAGGAACTCCTCGCTCAGCTCCTCGGCCGGCTCCTCCAGCTGCAGCAGCATCTCCACGCACTCGGTGAGCTCCTTGGGGTCCAGCTTCTCCTCCCTGGTGGCCGGGAGGGCCCGGAGGTAACAGCGGCACGGCAGAAAAGAGGGAATAACCAACAGGAGTCATCGGCAGGCTCCGGAGTGACCGCCCCCAGACCCGCATTTCCCAGCTGCCATCGGCGGGCTCCGGGTGAACGCACCGGAGGCGTGTGCGGAGGCGCTGGGCCAGGTCGGCCATGATGGCGTGGCTCTCGTCCTCGATGGCGCGGAAGGAGGGCAGGTGGCGGTAGTGGCGCAGCACGGCGCGGGCGCGGGCGTGGCAGCGCAGGGCACGAGCCGGCTCCGTGCCCGCCCAGCGCCGCAGCCGCCCCGGCACCTCCACCAGCGCCTGCAGCTTCCGCAGCAGCGCCTGCACCCCTGCAGGGACACGGGCTCAGCGGTGGGGACACAAGGGCAGCAGGAGGGGACGTGGCGGTGGGGCCAGCTGCTGGGTCTGCCCCCGCGGGGGACACCACCCCACAGATCTGCCCCTCTGCCCCACGCGATTCACCCCAATAAAGCTCCCCGGATGGCTCCGCTCCGTACCGGCCAGCTGGGCGCCGCGGCGGTGCCGGTCCTGCAGCGCGGCGCTGACGCGGGCGCTCGAGGCGCTGATGGCCGCCATGTTGGCCGCCAGGTCGTCCATCTCCGCCTCCATGTGCCGGAAATCCACCTTCATCTTCCGGATGGTGTCTGGGACACACGAGCCAAGCGCCAAGTCCCTCGGCTGCCCGCGACCCTCCCGGCCCACCCAGGATTAACACGGCACAGCCGTAACCCCCAAAGGAGGCCGGTTACTGCGGCGGCTGTCACTCCAGAGGGAACCACCACAGTCCCCAGGCCAGCTTCCCAGTGGGAACGCCCCCAAATCCCCATTTCCCAGTGCTGCCATCAGCAGATTTCAGAGTGAACACCCCCAAATCCCCACTTCCCAGAGGCTCCAGAGGGAACAGCTCACCAGTGGCGGAGATGAACTTGTTGTAGTTCTCGTAGAGCAGGGTCTGCATGTCGCTGTCCAGGGCGCGGATCTCCCGGCTCAGCGCGGCCTCGCGGGCCAGGAGCTGCCCCAGGGGACACTCGCTGCGCACCTGAGGGGACAACGGATGCCCATCTGCCCCTGGTTCCCTCCACTGCCCCCCTGGAGCCCCCTACTTGAGATCAACTGCCCTCCAGAGTCGGTCTGAGACTCAGATTCCCTGCAGGATCCCTAACTGTCCCTCCTGGATTCCTCCCGGGATATGGAAGCGTTCCCCAGGAGCCTGCCCTGCCCTCCAGGACTGCCCCGATCCAGCTGCTGCCGGGCACCTCAGTGCCATTCCCACACGGAATCAGTGTCCACAGGGAAGCGCAGCCATAACGTGGTCGAAGAGGCCCTTCCAGGGGTCCCCTCAGGATCCTGGGGCTCCGAACGTTCTGGGGACCCTGCGGCCCTCCGCCGCCAGGGTCGGGGCCACCCATCGAGATCGCTCGTGACGTGGCCCCGCGGGCACCTCCCGGGGCCCCTCGGAGCCCTCGCCGAGGCGGGGGTGCCCGCGGGAGGGGTCTCCGTGCCCACCTTGGTCATGAACACCTCCGGGTCGAAGTGGGGCCCGTTGATGTCGGTGGGGTCCGGGTCCGCCTCGGCCGCCTCGGCAGTGGCCGGGCCATAGTAGCGCTGGAGCGGCCCGTGGGGACGCCGCCATCCGCCGCCGCCGCTGCTCCCGCCGGTGGCCTCGGGGCTGCCTGCGGCCCCGCTCCCGGCCGCGGCCCCTGCCCCGCTCCCCGCTGTCGCCGCCGCCATCGCGCCGCCGCTTCCGCCCCAGCGGCCACTTCCGGTCTGTCCCTTACGCCACTTCCGATGCGACGCCCGGTTGCCATGGCGACGGGGAAGCGGCGCCGGACATGGCGGGGCCCAGTTACCGGGGCCTGGGGCGGCTGCCGCGGGGACGGAGCCGGCACGGCCCGTGTCCTGCTGCGCCAGGGGGATAAGAACTGCCGTGAGGACACAGACATGGGTGGCGACACCGACCCTCGAGGGCTGAGCGGCCGCTGGCACCCCCAACCCTGGGCCCGTGTCTCTCACCGTCCCTTTTCACCACTGTCCATCTGTCCGCAGGCCTCCCCAGTGACCCCGTGAGTCCCCGGTGCATCCCCATGCTCATCTCCCCGTGACACCAGGTGGGGTCCCCCACCCCACCCGAGGGTCCCGCTCCAGCCCCGGGGTGGCTCCGGATGATGCTGGAATTGGGCTGTGAGGCTGCAGGTACAACCAGGTGATCGACCTTGCCCCTCGCACAAGGAACAAACATCTGGGCTAAAAGGTCTAAAATCAGCTTTATTTACAGCAGAAAAGGCAAAAGAAACCCTGCCAGGGTGAGGGCCAGGCTGCTTCAGGGGCTTTTCATCGGGAGTCACCTGCTCCAGGAATCACAGGCCATCGATTCTTCCCAAAGGAAAGAGCCCAGAACTGCCACGTTGCACCAGGAAATCAGAAAGAGCCAGAGGAACTTCCTGCTGCCTCCTTTCTCCTTGCCTTTCCTGCATGTTTCTTCCCAAACATGGAAAAGAGCACACCCAATCCAGCCAGGGTGTGTTTTGTGAGCAGTTTGGTATGTGGGACAACATTCCCTTCATAGCTGCGGACCCGAGTCAGCCCAAGGGCAAAGGAATTCCCAGTGGGAACAGGGGGAAAGCAAAGGAACACCCAGCCATCCATCCATGAAGAGGGTTTGCTGCAGAGTCTAAATCACAGGAGGAGGAACAGCTGAGCCCTGGCTGTTACAGGAAGAGAGAAGCAAATAAGCAAACACACCCCCCTCAAGGCAAGGCAGGGGCTCCTTTTGTGCCTCATAAATGCATAAACAAACCAGAAAATCCCTCCTTGATTCCCCCCACTCCTGAGGGCACTGAGAGGGGAATTCCACCTCTGCTTTATTGGCACTACATCTCCCCAAAGTGCTCTGAAAGCAGGGTGCCACAGTAACCACAATTAACTGGACCTTCTGCCACCGGATTTCTTTACCCTGATTTAGTAACTAAATTTGCACGTGTGTGGGAAGGCTCTAGAAGGTTCCACCCAAGTGCAAATCCATGTGGTTGTGGACTGTGGCCCTCCCTTCCCACAGGGTCCAGCCTGCTTTGCCCACAAGGACGATAAAGAAAACCAAGCCAGGATTTAATGCTGCTGCCCTGCATCTCTTCCCTGCCACAACCTGAGAGCATCCAGGCCCAGATCCATTGCTAATTCCACCCAAAAGCAGCAGAGCACAGGTTTCCTTTCAGCCCAGGGACATGGAGAGTGGCCACACGGAATGCAAGTCAATCCTACAGCTCGCAGAGCTCAGCTGGGTTACGGAGTATCCACAAGTCCCCGGATTTGTCAGTTCCTGGTTTTCACTGAGGGAGGCGATGTGGAAGCGGCCCTTAGAAACAGCCCACGGGATGTGGACAAGGCAGGAGGTCACAGCCACGACCCCAAAATCCCGTGAAGATCCCTTCGGAGCCAACCTTCTTTCGGAAGAGCTGTCTGGGCGCAGCCGGAGCGACGACGAGGAGCTGGAAGGAGGAAAAGTCACCGGGAAGGTGGAGGTGTGGCTGGAGGCTCCTCTGGAAAACAGGCAGGTCTGTGCACGGTGGGGTCTGGCCTGTGACACGTCCCAGGCCGGGCTCAGGTCCCCGCCCGGGAGACCAGGTAGTAGAGGATGAAGAAGATGAGGACGAGCGCCACGGACACGGCCAGGAGCAGCCGGCGGTTGTCGCGGCCGGAGCGCGCCATGCCGGAGAAGCGCTTCACGCTGCCCGTCAGCAGCCCCGTCACGCTCAGGAAATCCGTGTCCTGCCGGGAAAACGCACCTTGGAGGCGTTGCAGCACCACGGAACTTCCTGGGTTTCCTTGGAGGGACTCACAAGGATGAGCCAGTCCAGCTGCAAGCCCTGCACAGGACACCCCGACAATCCCGGTGCTGATTTAGGGCTTCTCCCTTCAGGGCTTTTGCCGTCCCACCTCTCATCCCAATTCCCTGATTTGCACAGAAAGCCCCGTGTCCTGTCTCCCAGGTCCTTACCATGCCATCCAGGTAGCGGTTCTGTTCCTCAGCATCCTTGTCAATATCCAGAGCCAGCTGCAGGGCAAGGCAGGAAACGGGCATTAATGAGCTTTTAAAAGAGAACCTCTAAAATCTGAAATGCAAATTATTTAAACAAGCTGCTGCTTTCCCAGCTCCAACAGACACACAGGGGCTTGTCTGGTGCAGGAACAAGGAAAATGGCATTTCCCTGTCAGGCAGGTGAGGTTTCCCAGCTCTGAAAATAAAGCCTGGCTGTCTAAATCTGCCAGCTAGAGAGGGGAGTTTAAACCCTGGGACACAATGGCAGGAATTCAACCTGCCCTTTTACACAGTGAGGCATCGACTTCTTTCATGGTTTGTACTAAACTTTTAATAATAATTTAGAGCTTAAAGCTCTAAATCAAAGTGTTTGTTGTTAATAGGAGCAAACCAGCTTTAAGAACAGCTACACAGAGACACAGGTATTTTCCAAAATTAATCCACCTGCCTTTTTTTCATTATTTTTTCCCCGAGGAAGTGAGCTTAGCAACACCCCTGTGTTCAGGTTGGACAGGGCTTGGAGCAACCTGGTGTAGTGGAAAGTGTCCCTGCCCATGAGAAGGGGTGGGACTGGATGAGCCTTAAGGTCCTTTCCAAACCAAACCTTTCCATGGTTCTGTGATCCCCTGCAGGACTCCCAGGTAATCAGAGCCTGTCCTTCACCTCAGCACCTGCTGTGACCTCGGCACTCACCGACTTCAGCCTGGTGACCTTGCTGGCCAGGCTGTCGGCCATCCGCTTGTTCTCCACATCCAGCAGGTCCTCCATGGCGCTCGGACTCTGCCCTGGGGAGAAGAGCGAGGAGCACACATCGTCCCTGCCCTGCCACAGCCCAGCTCCGTTCCCGTCACAGCCCCTCCTCGCATGGTTTGCGCCGTGGAACCCTCCCAAAATGTGACCAAAACACCACAGACTTCCCCCAAACACACCAGGGTGAGAACCCAGCCTCGCACCCTGAACTGCTCAGCAGCAGGGGTTCCATGGCCAGTGACACCCAGGGGTGAGATTTGGGTGAAACCCGGCAAATCCGGGGCCCTTTGCCCCTCGGCCGCGTTGGGGTCTCCCGGCATTGCCCCCCATTGTGGGGCAGCTGGGGTCCGGAGGGGTTAGGAGTTCCGGGGCAATTAGGGGCTAGGGGGGCAGCTGGGGGCTCAGAGGGGTACTTGGGGTTTATGGGGGGCGCTTAGGGGCTCAAGGGGACAATTAAGGGTTAGGGGGGGCAATTAGGGGTTTTGGGGGCAGCCCAGGACCCCAAAAGGGGCCCAGGTGGGCAATTTGGGCTTGCGGGGGGGGGCTATAGGGGAGAAATCGCGGCACTGCAAGAGACCCCGTGGGGTTCAGTGGGATCGGGAGTTCTTCCTCCCTCTGACCCGCTCCAGCCCCTTCTGCCCCCCAAACCTGTCCCTGTCGCTGTCCCTTGTCCCCTCACCTCGGCCCCGCTCCGCCATGGCTGCCCCGGCCCGTCCCGCCCCGCCGGGCGGAGCCGCCACGAAATGTCCGCCCGCTCTTCCTCCTTCTCCTCCTCCTCCTCCTCCTCCTTCCCCCCGCTACCGGGACCCTCGGGCCGCTCGCCCGGGCCGGGGCGGAAGGGCTGGAACTCCCCCCGAGGGATCCCGGGCCGCAGGTACGGGCAGCGGCGCAGGGGCGGCGCAGGGGGCTGGGGGACCGAACAGCGGCTTGGGGACAAAACCCGGGGGACTGGGGACAGATGTAGGGCTCTGGGGACGAGAATAGGGTCTGGGGAAAAGAAAGATGTTTTGTGGAAATAATTAGGGGTTTGGGGTGGGGGAGAATAGAGGTTTGGGGGGAAAATGGGGGCTTGGGACAAAAATAGAGGTTTGGGGGAAAACATAGGGGTTGGGGCAAAAATAGAGGTTTGGGGGGGAAAGTAGGGGTTTAGGGTCATAAACAGGGTTATGGGGACAAAAAAAGGGGTTTGGAATTTACCCAGATGGTGGGGGAAGGAGGTGGCAGTGTGAGGAAGCAGTAGGAGTATGGAAATGGGGATATGCCCAATGATCCATTGGGTCATGCCATCCCCCAAAAGCAGAGGTGGATCCCCTCCATCCCAGCCCCTGCACATGGGGATGCTGTGTCTCTGCCCCGGGCCGGCCCAGCCTCTGTCTCCGCGGCTTTCTGCCTTCCAAAACGCAGGATCTGCCTCTTTTGTTGCCCCCGAAAAGCCCCTCTGGGGCTGCGTGGGCAGGAGGGGACAGCCCGTGTGATTCCCAAACCCCGCGGGCCCTGGGTGGGATCCCGGTTTGTTGAGGTTGGTGTGACCAGCTCAGCCTCATCCTCATGGCAACACGGAAGCCGAGCACATGTCCGAGCCCAAATCTGCCGGATTTCCCCCCAGAGCGAGTCACGTCCCAGCACCGTGGGCTCGCGTGGCTCCGTGAGCCGTATCCAAAATAATCCCGCGGAGCTGCGCATCTGCCGGCTGGCACTGCCGGCAGGGACATCCTCTCCCGGGGGCTCCGGACGCGCCTTTTGGCTGCGCCTGCAGGGATCGGCCATCATCCAGCCGGCACCGAACCCTCCCCGCTCTGCTTCCCACCGCCTGCCAAGGTAGCTCCGCCTGCAGCCGGAGGATGCTCTCCCGCCTGGCTGCCTCGCCGCTCCATCCCTTGTCGCTCCACGGGAATGTTTCTGCCTTTATTTGTTATTTTCCCCCCTGTGCGGCAGCAGAAATCAGGGCAGGCGGGG